CGCACGAGGGCGCGGGCAGCAGCAGAGCGCACGAGGGCGCGGGCAGCAGCAGAGCGCACGAGGGCGCGGGCAGCAGCAGAGCGCACGAGGGCGCGGGCAGCAGCAGAGCGCACGAGGGCGCAGAGAGCACGGGCAGCACAGGCACGGGCAGCAACGGGCGGCACAGGCACAGGCAGCACAGGTACGGGCAGCACAGGCACGGGCAGCAACAGAGCGCACGAGGGCGCGGGCAGCAGCAGAGCGCACGAGGGCGCGGGTGAGACAGAGCGCACGAGGGCGCAGAGAGCACGAGCAGCTGCTGCAGAGGTCCAGGGGCGGCTGCTCCAGGGGCCAGGGGCGGCTGCTCCAGGGGCCAGGGGCGGCTGCTGCAGGGGCGGCTGCTCCAGGGGCCAGGGGCGGCTGCTGCAGGGGCGGCTGCTCCAGGGACCAGGGGCGGCTGCTGCAGGGGCGGCTGCTCCAGGGGCCAGGGGCGGCTGCTCCAGGGGCCAGGGGCGGCTGCTGCAGGGGCGGCTGCTCCAGGGGCCAGGGGCGGCTGCTGCAGGGGCGGCTGCTCCAGGGGCCAGGGGCGGCTGCTGCAGGGGCGGCTGCTCCAGGGGCCAGGGGCGGCTGCTCCAGGGGCGGCGTCGCGGGTCCAGGGGCGGCTGCTGCAGGGGCGGCTGCTGCAGGGGCGGCTGCTCCAGGGGCAGCGGCACCAAGGGCGGCTGCACCAGGGGCAGCTGCTCCAGGGGCGGCTGCACCAGGGGCGGCTGCTCCAGGGGCGGCGGCGCTGGCGCAGGGGCGGCTCGCGCGCTGTTGCAGGGGCGGCGTCGCGAGCTGCTGCAGGGGCGGTGTCGCGAGCGACGGGCGACGGGGGGAGCAGCGGGCGGGCCCCCTGAAGGCGCCGCGACGAGCAGGGACGGCGCCCAGGGGGCGCTGCGACGTGCAGGGGCGACGCCGCGCGGGTCCCGCAGGGGCGTCGCGACGAGCAGGGACGGCGCCCAGGGGGCGCCGCGACGACCTGGGGCGACGCCTCGCGGGTCCCGCAGGGGTGTCGCGACGAGCAGGGCGACGCCGCGCGGGTCCCGCAGGGGCGACGCGACGAGCAGGAGCGGCACCCAGGGAGCGCCGCGACGAGCAGGGGCGGCGTTGAGAGGGTGCCGCGACGAGCAGGAGGCGGCACCCAGGGGGCGCCGCGACGAGCAACGGGGAGGGCAGCACGCAGGCCCCTCTGAGGGCGCTCCGACGGACGGTGAAACCGGCGCGCGCCCCGAGCGCGCGGCGGGCAGAAAAAGCCGTCACGCGCTCAGAGCGCGTGGCAGGAAGAAAAATACAGCGCCGCGCACCACGGAGCGCGCGGTGGACAGTACGGCAGCGGAAGCAGTTGGTGGGCCTGTTAAGCTAGGCGGCAGGATCATGCCGGCTCTAGATACCATGTTAGAAACACTAGGAGTGCGGCCTAGGCTTAGTAGCCTAGGCCACACTAAGAGGTAGGAGGTTGTGCCCTAGAGCTAGGGTTTGGGGTGTACGAAGGAGAATTGGAGAAGAGGAATCATGGAACTAGCAAGCAGCAGGACACACAAATAGCAAACCCTAAGGGGTTGTACTCACTATTGAGCACCCCACTGCAGGCTAGACAAATAACATAATCTGACAGCCGGAGCAGGCCTCAGAAGTTCAAGGAAGCGGAATGTGCAGCAGAAGCTCTCCAAGCCTATTTCCACCCTCTGCTACTGCTCTCCGCCTCCTCCCTCCTCTCCTCTGCCTTGTTCCTCCTCACCTCAGTTACAAATTCTCAATTCTTCAGGCTAATCGTTCTCAGAGTCTTACTTTCAAGCTTTCTCATACGAGTCTGATAGCAATCTTTCTAAATAGCTTCACAGCGTTTGTATTCCCAATTTCTACCGTACAAGCTTTGCTCCCGCGGCATTCTTCTCGTATCTTACTCAATTTATCCTGAATTATCATGGCCTCAGTTGATTATCCGACCTTCTCTGAAGCCCTTCGCTTGTGGAAGAACCGGGATGCTCCCTTGCAACTGCAGGTTTAAGTCCCGGCCTCGTCACCTCCTTGCTCGGCTGAAGAGGAGGAGGTCCCGCGAATTGAGTCTTCAGAAGAGTCTTCTGAAGCTGCAGTGGGTTCCTTTGAGGCGGAGGAATCTTCGTATGAGGCTGCAGAATACTTCCCTGAAGCTTCAGCGGAGTTTCCTGGAGCTGCAGATGGCGTCGCTGAGCCTGCAGAGGCATCCATTGAGGCTCCAGTTGAATCTTCTCACAAGAAATCACAGGAGTGTGATGGGGTCAGTGTGTGCAGCATCGTCGCCAGCATGATGAGCATGGTGGACAGCAGCTGCAAGACGCTTCTCAGCAGCAGCTTTGGTAACACGACTCATCTTTACACCAGTGAAGATCACGTGGACTGCAGCAAAAGCTTCTGCTTTGCCGTTCCTTGGGCAGCAGTGACCAGAGAGGTCGTCACTGCTGGTCACAGCAAGCTCAAGAAGGGCAGCAATGGTGACTTGAAGCGGGAACCCAACCAAGTGTTGAAGCCAGCAGCGACTACAGAGCTGGCTCCAAGCAAGCGTTCAGTCTCGAGAATGGCATTGGCTAGCTTGAAGCTGCTGCCTACGCGCATTCCCAAGCCTGGCAGCGCACGTGCCCCTGTTCTGAAGACACATGCTGAGGAGAAGGTTCTGCTCGGATCTGTGTGCTCGCGCATCCCCAAGATTGGCAGCACACGTGCTCCTGCTGTGAAGACTGTTGCAGTGGAGGACAAGGTGGTTCTGCTCGGATCTGTGTGCTCGCGCATCCCCAAGCCTGGGAGCGCATGTGCTCCTGCTGTGAAGACCTGTGAGGAGAATAAGCATGGGCGTGTGTGTTCTGAAAACGGTACAGGATCCAAAGGACAAACCAGGAGGCTGCATGAGAGAGTTGAAAGTGTGAAATTGGAGAGGAAGGGAGGCAATGCGAGGCTGACAAGGGTGGGTGCAGTGAGGCCTCCCTGGCGGCCTTGAAGACTGAGATGTGGTGATAGGAGTGGCCAGAATGGTACTTGGTGCATGTGAATGCTCCTGATGTGGCTGACACATTATCTAGGTCTAGCTTTGTATTATATTCATGTATTTCTTTAGGTCTTGTCTCATCCCTGTTGTGTTAACTTATGTCTTCAAAATCTGGTTCGCTATGGTTTGGTTGGTGAAAGGACAAATCATATAACATGGTTCTGTTCTGTATTCACCCCATACACAGACTCTCTCTTCATAACAAACAAACAATAGAATCACTGCTTCCATCAGTTGGCATGCCAGCCTTATACCATATTGCACTGCGCTTATGATGAACCCAAATGGCTGAAGTAACCTTACTGGTTACCATTTACTTTCATGCCTGCAATCGCACAACGTTCACATTGTTGCATAAATCGTTGGCATCACAACACGTGTTTGCATCGAGGGTACAATCTACAGTGTGCTGGTTTCCCCTGGTTTCAGCTGTTTTGGAACCTGCTCATAATTCAACCACAAAACAAGAATGCAGGCGTAGAGATCGGGACGAGGGGAAGGACAGAATCCGAGTCAATGCATGCATGCTAAATCTGTAAGCATGCGTGGGCCACAGCAGCAAGGAGCAAGGCGGGCTCACCCATTGGTACGTTGCAGCAGGCACTTGAGCTGTGAGTGCAATGCAATGCCAGTGGCCTCCACTTTCTCGCTTTTCTTCACCCCTATCCCCCCGCGCCCTTGCCTCTCAGCAGCGCCATCACCACCCCCCTGCGGTATGCATTGGGGCGAAGGGAGAATGAGGAAGAGCAACGTCGGTTGCCTCCACTATCTCTCTTCGCATCACCAGGCTGTGCTCTGCAGGCACACAATCCATCCACTTGTGCTGGGCACTCAATGAAAACCCAGAGAGTGTAGTTACTACCGTATGTTAGATCATTGCATTCTGTGACAGTGGGAGAAAAAGGTGAAACAATGTAAGAGTGTGTGATAGTGAGTGATAAGTGCGTGCGAATGATAGTGGGTGATAAATGTGTGAAGATGTGTGTCAGAGAGTGATGGGTGAGAATGCGTCAGTGAGTGATAAGTGCATGATTATGAGTGAGTGAGTGATAAATGTGTGAGAATGTGTGAAGTGAGTGAAACATGTGTGAAAATGTGTGTCAACGAGTCATAAATGTGTGAAAATGTGTTAATGAGTCATAACTATGTGAGATTGTGTGCCAGCATCACCAAAATGTTGACATCCCAGAACGCTCCCCCTAATTTGGCTTCCCCGCAAGAGACTTCGAGGCCTCCCGAAAATGACCCATATCTGTCAACGAGCCCGAAAGTGACATTCGGAACAGTGTACAGCGTGTCCCGAAAATGTCCCGTCTGAAAATTGTCCCTCAAAAGCAAGTAATATGTCTCAAAACCCTCTGTTAACACTGTTCACTTTGCAGTGTCCTAGTGGGTGCAAATTTCTATAGTCCGAAAGGTTGCGGGTTCGAATCTTGGCGTCGGTACATTGCGAATGTGCATGCTTTTTTTTTTTCCGTAATGGATAAATTCTCAGAATTCGTAATGTATATGATGGACTTAGAGCCTATGCTGATGTTTTTCTTAAACATCGGGATGTTTAGGTGATCTTATTCTAGTGAAACTTACTATCGGTTTACATTTAAATGCAACGACTTAGACTTTGTTTTTCTACACTCACGTCAATGTATTCTTGTCGAATCTGTTTATAGCTTGCACAATACGGAACGTTGTAACTGATACGAAATTCTCGCCAATTTCGTTTGTCGAAACGCCATCCCCCCCCCCCCCCCCCCCCCCCCCCTCACCTCCCCCTCCCAAACGATCGAAGCGTGACGAAAAATACGTGCCCCACAGATAAACGCCAACTCAGCCTCATCTGAAATGCCACCAGGTTCGCGCCACCTGTCAGCCACACCTGACTGTCACTTGCCAGCTGTCCAGAAAATAGCACACGTCCTCACAATACATGCACACCACGCAACTACAACTCAGCCCAACCACAATGTCATATACCGTTGAGGTAGAACCATCTCTCATGCTTCTACGTGTTCTATTTTTGTGTCTGGTTTCTAGGTCTCTTGTTCTTTCTAGCTTCTTAGGTTCCTGCTAGTAGGCCTGCCAGTCTTGTATTCTGTAATCATTACCTGTTACTAATTTATAGGTTCCCCGCTTCCCTCTCCTCCTTTCCCCCCATCGCCCTGCGCAGGCGCCGCCGTTTTCCCCTTCACTCCACTACGCGATTGCCGCTTCGTGGTGCTGCACGCCGCGACTGAAGGGTAGGGGAGGGGGGCGATGCTGCCTGCGGGCGAACGCGGCGCCACTGTCGGCGGAAACAGCGCGGCTGTCGCTTGTTTCGTCGCAGGCGCCGGAGAGGAGAGGGAGTGATGTGGCTGTCAGATTGATGCAAGGGAATCCAGGTATGTATTTGTTTTCGCCAATTTGTCAGATTTATTCAGGGATGTGCTTTTCACGTCGCCAACTGTTCATGCTACATGCATTTGTTTTTGCTAATGTGTGCAGATGCAGATTAGCGTTTCAACTATTTGTCGATTTTCCTTATGATGCAAGGTTAAAATGCGGTAACAAGCTCCATTGTATGTACATTCATTGTCATGTGTTTCTGACGACTTAGCATTGCTTGTAACGTTGAAGTTTCAGGATGGCTAATTGTTTGATTTGTCAATTGCAGGAACTGCTATTTATGTAATGAATATGCCACCCGTAGAGTTTGTTAACAAGCCTCAAATTTTCACTGTTGACATGTATATGTTGTATGCATTAGTTTTGTTGTAGGTGTTCGATAAACAGATGTTTTGTAGCATGTATATATATCAATGTACGAGGTTGTTATTTCCGAACCGCATGTGAAGGGCAACGAATCCCGAACCGCCTGATTCCGAACCGCTCTCAAACGTGATTGGTCCGTGATATTTCCCAAATGTGTCTTGAATGTGTCCTGAAAACATCCCGCAGAAGTCTTTCGGGCAGGAGTCAAAGAGTCTTGCGAAGCAGTTTCGGGACTCCCAGATGTGTCACTACAGATTTCCCGAAAGACACTTTCGGGATGGTTGTGAAAGCTGACCCGAAAGTCTCTTCCGAGATAGTTTCAGGCAGCTTTTGGGAGCCCAGAATTTAGCGATGAGTGAGTGATAAATGGGTGAAGAGGTGTTTCAGTGAGCGATAAATGTGTGAATGTGTGTCAGTGAGTGATAAGTGTGTGAAAAGGTGTGCCAGTGAGTGATAAACGTGACTGTGTGGCAGTGAGTGAGAAATGTGTGAAAATGTGTGTCAGTGAGTGATAAATGTATGTGTGTCAGTGAGTGACAAATGTGTGAAATTGTGTGCCAGTGAGTGATAATTGGATGAAATTGTGTGTCAGTGGGTGATAAATGTGTGAAAATGTGTGCCAGTGAGCGGAAATATTGTGAAAATGTTTGTCAGTGAGAGATAAATGTGTAAAAATGTGTGCTAGTGAGCGGAAATATTGTGAAAATGTTTGTCAATGAGCGATAAACGTGTAAAAATGTGTGTAAGTGAGTGATAAATGTGTGAAAATGTGTGCTAGTGAGTGGAAATATAGTGAAAATGTGTGTCAGTGAGTGATAAATGTGTGAAAATGTGTGCCAGTGAGTGATAAATGTGTGAAAATGTGTGTCAGAGAGTGATAAATGTGTGTCAGTGAGTGACAGATGTGTGAAATTGTGTCCTAATGAGTGATAAATGGGTGAAGGTGTGTGTTCGTGAGTGTTAAATGCGTGAATGTGAGTCAGTGAGTGATAAAGCGTGAAGATGTGTGTTAGTGAGTGATCAATGTGCGAAGATGTGTGTCAGTCAGTGATTGGGAAGTGCGTGAGAATGAGTCAGTGAGTGAATAATGCGTGAGAATGTGTGTGAGTGAGTGATAACTGTGTGCAATTGTGTGCCAGTGAGAAAAAAATGGGTGAAGATGAGAGTCAGTCAGTGAGTGATAAATCTGTAAATGGGTGAAAATGTGTTTCAGTGAGTGATAAATGGGTGAAAATGTGTCAGTGAGTAATAAATGGGTGAAAACGTGTGTCAGTGAGTGATAAACTGGTGAAAATGTGTGTCAGTGAGTGATAATGTGTGAATGTGTGTCAGTGAGTGATAAATGTGTGAAAATGTGTGCCAGTGAGAGACAACTGTGTAAAGCTGTATGTCAGTGAGTTTAGGGTTTGAGAATGCGTGCCAGTGAAGGCAGGCGCGCCTGAGATGAGATGGTTGCAGGCTAAATGACGGAATGGCACAAAATGCACTAAGGAGCATCACATGGCACACATGGCATGTATTACGTGTGACTGTTTTGTGCATCAATGTGAGTGGGTATGAAAAGGAGCAAGTAGGCTCGAATGGGTTTGGCCCTTAAGTGTGCATCGCATTCAAAGGTACAGTGGTGTGTGCAGTGCAATGGTGTGTGCAGTGCAATGTGTGTGTGCAGTGCAATGGTGTGTGCGGTGCAATGGTGTGTGCGGTGCAATGGTGTGTGCGGTGCAATGGTGTGTGCGGTGCAATGGTGTGTGCGGTGCAATGGTGTGTGCGGTGCAATGGTGTGTGCGGTGCAATGGTGTGTGCGGTGCAATGGTGTGTGCGGTGCAATGGTGTGTGCGGTGCAATGGTGTGTGCGGTGCAATGGTGTGTGCGGTGCAATGGTGTGTGCGGTGCAATGGTGTGTGCGGTGCAATGGTGTGTGCGGTGCAATGGTGTGTGCGGTGCAATGGTGTGTGCGGTGCAATGTGTGTGCGGTGCAATGGTGTGTGCGGTGCAATGGAGTGTGCGGTGCAATGGAGTGTGCGGTGCAATGGTGTGTGCGGTGCAATGGTGTGTGCAGTGCAATGGTGTGTGCAGTGCAATGGTGTGTGCAGTGCAATGGTGTGTGCGGTGCAATGGTGTGTGCGGTGCAATGGTGTGTGCGGTGCAATGGTGTGTGCGGTGCAATGGTTTGTGCGGTGCAATGGTGTGTGCGGTGCAATGGTGTGTGCGGTGCAATGGTGTGTGCGGTGCAATGGTGTGTGCGGTGCAATGGTGTGTGCGGTGGAATGGTGTGTGCGGTGCAATGGTGTGTGCAGTGCAATGGTGTGTGCAGTGCAATGGTGTGTGCAGTGGAATGGTGTGTGCAGTGCAATGGTGTGTGCAGTGCAATGGTGTGTGCAGTGGAATGGTGTGTGCAGTGCAATGGTGTGTGCAGTGCAATGGTGTGTGCAGTGCAATGGTGTGTGCGGTGCAATGGTGTGTGCGGTGCAATGGTGTGTGCGGTGCAATGGTGTGTGCGGTGCAATGGTGTGTGCGGTGCAATGGTGTGTGCGGTGCAATGGTGTGTGCGGTGCAATGGTGTGTGCGGTGCAATGGTGTGTGCGGTGCAATGGTGTGTGCTGTGCAATGGTGTGTGCGGTGCAATGGTGTGTGCGGTGCAATGGTGTGTGCGGTGCAATGGTGTGTGCAGTGCAATGGTGTGTGCAGTGCAATGGTGTGTGCAGTGCAATGGTGTGTGCAGTGCAATGGTGTGTGCAGTGCAATGGTGTGTGCAGTGCAATGGTGTGTGCGGTGCAATGGTGTGTGCGGTGCAATGGTGTGTGCGGTGCAATGGTGTGTGCGGTGCAATGGTGTGTGCAGTGCAATGGTGTGTGCAGTGCAATGGTGTGTGCAGTGCAATGGTGTGTGCAGTGCAATGGTGTGTGCAGTGCAATGGTGTGTGCAGTGCAATGGTGTGTGCAGTGCAATGGTGTGTGCAGTGCAATGGTGTGTGCAGTGCAATGGTGTGTGCAGTGCAATGGTGTGTGCAGTGCAATGGTGTGTGCAGTGCAATGGTGTGTGCAGTGCAATGGTGTGTGCAGTGCAATGGTGTGTGCAGTGCAATGGTGTGTGCAGTGCAATGGTGTGTGCGGTGCAATGGTGTGTGCGGTGCAATGGTGTGTGCGGTGCAATGGTGTGTGCGGTGCAATGGTGTGTGCAGTGCAATGGTGTGTGCGGTGCCTGGTGGCAACAACAAGCCACTCACAACGCTGCTGGACCTGCCACCCCTCTGCAGAAGAACACACATGAGGAGGGCACAGGAGGGCAGGTGAGGGAAGAGGAGGACAGGGAAGGGGAGGGGAGGGATTATGAGGGCAGGGAAAGGCAGGGGAGGGCAGATGGATTGCAAAGAGGAGAAACGCCAGGCCTTGGTGTCACAGCATTCAGAAAAAAGACCCTGTGCAATCACATTGACACTAACCCCCTGCGCATGTGCCTGCATTCACAGGAACACCACCCATCACACGCATCTAGAGGCCCCACGCACATCTAGCATGGCACGCACCTTGAGGTGGCTACCCAAGTACCCCTCTGCACGGCAGCAAGCTCCCTCAAGTGACTCACAGGCACGGCCTTCTCCCTGTTCCCCGCGCCTGGTAGGTGCACCCCATCCATCCTCTCATGCGCCCCTGTGCGCACCCCATCCATCCTCTCATGCGCCCCTGTGCGCACCCCATCCATCCTCTCATGCGCCCCTGTGCGCACCCCATCCATCCTCTCATGCGCCCCTGTGCGCACCCCATCCCTCTCATGCGCCCCGGTGCGCACCCCATCCCTCTCATGCGCCCCTGTGGTGTGCGCACCGCGCCGCATCTCTCATCCCTCCCATCGCAGCCCCCCATGCCAGCGCTCCTCCCCACGCACATCACTTGGTGCTCCCACTCCCCACTGCCCCCGCCGCCCCAACAGCCTGTCCGCCTCATCCCCACGCATGCCAGCTGGCGCCCTCTCATTGGGCAGCGAGCAGATGGCCTTGGCTGACTTGCCCGCCTCGCCTAACCCATGGGGGAGGGGGGAGGGGGAGGTGAAAGAGGGGCGCAATGTCTGGAAGAGAGGAAGGGGGGACGGCAAGAGGAGCGGGGAAATGGGGGAAGGAGGAGGGAAGGGGAGGGAAGCGGAGGGAAGGGGTGGAAGGAAGTGGAAAAGAGGGAGGAGGATGGGTGGGGAGGGAAGATGAGGGACTGAAGGAAGGAAGGGAGGGAAGAAAGGAACGCTCCCAACTGCTCCCCTCTCCAACTGATCTGCATCCCCCCAACTCCCCATACTCCCCACTGATGCCAAGAACGTTCCCCCACCGTGGCTCACCCCTGATCACCCCTGCTCACCTTCCGGCAGCGGGAGAGCAAGGGTGACACGGTGGGTGTGAGTGCAGGCGAGGTGGTGGGTGGGATTCATGAGGTGACAGGGAGAGGGGACGTCGGGAGAGGACGAGGAGGGGCACGCCTTGAGAGGACTCTCATCGCACACACCACACACCAGGGCATGTCAGCTTGCTGTGCGTGCGCGCACAGGGGTTGGAAACTGAAGGGAGGTGAGGGGGGAGAAGTGGGAAAGGGGGAAAAAACGGGGGTGATGAGAAATATAGAAGGGAGCAGCTGAAAGGATGGAATGATTTGAGTGGTGGGAGGAAGCAGATGGCGTTGATGCTGGTGGGCACGAGCATGGCACATGGCAGGCACACATGGATTGGCTGCCAAACCAGCCACGGGAATAACTGGGTACCTGCTGCAAGGGTGTGGATGAAAGCGGGTAGCGGTGGGTGTAAGTGGGTAGAGATGGGTGGAAGTGGGTGAGTGACAAGGCAAGGCATAGATCACTAACCTTGGATCCATCCTTTCACCCAAAGACCGCCTTTCGCAAATCAACACCGTCTCAATCCAACACCCACGACAGACCAGCAGCAAAAGCCATCCCATGCACCGCTCCTTCACCCCATGCACCGCTCCTTCACCCCATGCACCGCTCTTTCACCCCATCCACCGTTCCTCGCCTCCGCCGCGTGCGCGCAACAAACGGAGTGAGGAAGCTGGTGCGGCTGATCTGTTCGCAATGATAATCCCCGCGACCGTGCACTGGACGATCGGCTCCGCCACGTGCGCGCAGCACAGAGGGTGAGGAATCGCGCAGCACAGCGCGTTGAACGCGCACGGATCATTGCTAAAGGTCGACTATAGTCGATGCTCACGACGCGAACGAAACTGCAAACACGAATATGCGCGGGAGTGACGAGGAAACTGCTGTCGAACGTCGCTTTCGTTGGAAGTGACGAACCTATGGACATGGGATACCTCGGATTGTGCGACATCGTGGCGACGCGACGGAGTTAAAGCTGCAAAGACGAATAAGCGCGGAAGTGACGAACCTGTGGACGTGGGGTGCTTCGGATCGTGGCGACGTCCCAAATTTGTTGTCGAGGGAGTTGGTTACTTCGGACCCTTGTTCGTTGTGGGTACTTTCGAAGTCCAGTCAGAGGTCATTTTTGGGATGGACGCGACGGAGAGAGTGCTGTGGGGCACGAGACGGACGATAAATAGTCTACCCTCGAAATCCAACAAACGGCAATCTAGTGAAGACTTTCGGGCTTCAGTATAGTGTCGGGTGGGTTGAGTTGCTAACTTTTAGACAGACGCAATCACTTATGCGACGTTTAGAGCAGTGAAAACGGCATTTGTGTCTGACAGATGATACTGCCAATGTAATCCGAACTGTAAACTGAACCTTGTGTTCCTCACGAGCATGTCTGATCTCGCCCCCTTGCGAAGGCAGTGCACCTCACGACCCAAGAGTTTTTTTTTTCTATAGTTTACCCGTGATATTTATAACATACGGTATTCTAGGGAAGACTTTCGGGCTGACGGGCGGGACTGAGTTGTTAGCTTTTAGACAGAAGCAATCACTTATGCGACGTTTAGAGTAGTGAGAAGGTGCACTTGTGTTTGGCAGATGATGCTGCCATGAGATCCGCACTGTAAACCGAACCTTGTGCACTTGAGAGCATGTCTGATCAGGCCCCTTGCGAAGGCACCACACCCCACAACAAACCCAAATCCGAACCCTACCTCCAAGTGATTGGGGCAGAGAAAAGAATCGGTTTGAACCGATATGAAACGGTAGGTCACCAGTTCAAATCTGAACTATCACGAGTGAGGGGGAGTCCGAAGAAGTTCACATAGGTTTTACTCGTTATTTTTACGTAATTTCACTCGTCAATTTTGACTGTACCCCAACTTGTAGTCTGATCATTTCATGTCAAGTGACCGAGTGTGAATTCCAGAAAGCTGACAAGGTACAAAAACGAGATCAGCTTACTGGGTAACCAATGTCACACAGGTTTGGCGCGACATTCTCTCGCGAGCAGCAGATTTCGAATCTCAGGGGCATGACGGCTGTACGTAATGAGTGGCGAAACGTTACTGGCGAGTGTTTAGCGTTACTGCTCTTTGTGTTTGACGCAAAACGCAACGCCAGACGAATTTACGGTGTGCCTTCGGATGTGTTCCGCACATCTCGGGGCACGTTTCTAATTAGCGGTTTGAGGTGAGTTGTTCCTGTCAAGCGCCTTTGGGAACGTAAATAGTTCTGATACATGACCGAAAATGGTAACCGAGCTGGAAAATTTCCGAACTTGAACTTTTTTCGGAGCCCCTGAGTTTGTTTCGTTCCTCGATAATCTCCCATGACGCACCGCTGCGGCATTGACGGAGCCTTGGATGCTGAATTATACGAAGCCTTTCGGAATCGACCCCTAACGCGAAAACTGACGCGGAATTGACGGAGTTTGACCCCCTAACGCGGAATTTGACGGAGCCTTTGACGGACGTGTTTCCCGCCTTCGCATACTGTCTCCTTACAGTAGGTTTCGGCCTGAAACCAAGGTTCCGCACGATCCCAATCGAAAGAAGAGAATCTCTAGGGATGCGTAATGCTCTCAGTCAGAACGAACCGCCTGATCCATCGCAAAAAAGCAAGCTTCGTTTTCGGCTGTTTAGGATGATCGAGGCTTTGTTTACATGTATGCATTGCTGTTTGCCAAGTGCCCTGTAAATGGATTGTATTTCTACAACCGAGCACCACGTACAGCTCTGTAAACGACCGATGTGGGGTACAACTGTAGCACTTGCGAAACTGGCGCGAATGGGTAGATATCGCCACGTACAGCAGTTTGCGTCCGTAAGCCATGTGCTAGGTACGAGGGTGGGTGAGTTGGCGATCAACCAGGACCCAAGTTTCAGTCCGTAAATTGTCATTGCACGCGGTTCACAGTCATTGACGACCTTACGGTGGGGTGAAGCGTCGGGTCGCCGAAATCGCAGTAACCCGAGCTGTAACCGTAACCTCTTGCTTTGAACACCGGGTAACCCAGCGTAACACATAATACACTTCACAATAATACGTGCTTACCTGACCAGATTGAAATCGAAAACCGAAAGAGAGTGTAAGGAAAAACCCTTTTTCCTTACTGGGGTTTACTCAACCGCGTACAACCCCAACTTTCGGAAGTGCACGTTCGGCCGCTTTGCTTGTTGCCGAAGCAACCTCGCATCGCCTTCGGCTTTCCTTTGCCCAACCTGCACTCAACCTCGTGTTCCCGAGGTTCCCGCCTAGTTAGGTTGCCTCGCTATATAATCGCATGTCTTTCATTGTATCGTGAATCCATTGAGTCACAGCCTCGTTATTCGTTATTCCGCGCAACTCTGTTTGACAACTCATAACACCTGGTATCAGAGCTACTTTCCTAGTTCACCCCGCTTTTCCAGGGTAGTTTAGTGGCACGGGTGTGACTGGTACGGTGGGCTGCAAAGCGGTTGGTTGCAAAGTTTATTAAATTAAACTTGCCCGACTCCGATAGCTTTTGCGCTTGCACTGTTGCCGGATAGTCACGGAGACCCACTTGCCTGTTAGACGTAGCTTGCGACTCATGGACCAGGCGGCATTTGACGCGTTGATGCAGCAAGTGGCGGAGATGTCGGCAGGCATGAAGGCGTTAACGACAGAGGTGGAGAGACTACGTGAAGAAAACAACGAGCTACGCCAGGCGCGAGGTGAAGCGCGCCAGGAGTCGCCCGCTGAAGAAGGCGAGAGCACTGGTCAAGCGGTGAGCGGCAATCCGTTGGAGGAGCTCACACGCGGCTTCGAAGAAGAAGATAGGCAGCGAGCGGCGGCAGCGACAACAGTTGCAGTGACAACAATCAAGATAAAGCCTACGAGCCCGCCCCCGTTCAACCCTACCGACAAGAACACTACTGTTAAGGGGTGGTTGTTCGGCGTGGAGGTGTTCTTCACTGCAGCGAACGTCAACGACGACGCCACGCGTATTAATTACGCGGTATCGCTTCTGCGAGGCCCGGCGCTTGAGTGGTGGCGACGAACCTTGGACACGGGGACCCCGACAGGTGTGACACATGCGGCAGACGGGACTTCGGACTCTGCTATTGGGAGGGCATCATCGATATTCGGTGTGGCCACAATTCGCACGTGGAAGCAGTGGGGCGC